TCTGCAGACCTCTTCCATGCCCTGGGGACGGCGCCCTCTGTCCCCCGGGGCCTGTTCTCCTTGCTCTCTGGGGTGCTCAGACCTGTCCCCTATAAAGAGCCGCTGTGCAGCCAATAAGGACGAACCGAAGCTCTTGGGACGCAGGGAGCCCTGTCCCTCAGCCTGTCCCCAACCCCCAGTCAGGGCAGGTGCGTGACATGGAGGCTGGACTTGACAAGGAGGACAGGACACTGTTGGAGGCAGAGAGGGCGGGGACCTGCATGACCGAGAGGCTCAGAGGGGACAGAGCCAGCTCTCCCCCTGTCCCTGTGCCCCGTGGCCCGCCCCTCCCCTCCAGGGGCAGCTGGAGCACAACTGGGCCTGGTGGCCCTGCCCTGCCCCCTCCCAGCTCTGCCTGTGCAGCTGTCCCAGGCCAGCTGTCCAGACCCAGCTGCTGGGCACCGCTCCCCCGCCCCCCGGGCTGCCTGGCTCAGGGAGGAGGGAGGACAGCCCGCTTCCCCGTCCCTCCGGCCCCTCTCGGGGGAGCCTTTGTGTGGAGGCACAGATTCCATCACCCTGGGTGACGGCGGGGAACTTGGAAATAACCTGCGTGTCCCGTCTTAGAGGACCAGATGGCCCTTTGTGGCCTCTCCAGATCTGGGGCTCCAGCCTGTGGTCATTGGGATTTCTCAGGGGGCTTCATGGGGTCCGTGAACCCCCAGGGATGTTTGTAACATGCTTCCTACATGTGGGTTTCTAGGGGAGTCTGCAACCCCAAAATGTTATCAGCAGGTCCTGGCCGGCAGGACGCCTCCGGTGCCGCCTGTGAAGTCGCGTTACGGGAGGACGTTCTGTCGGCATCGGGACTGTGTCCCGTGACATGCCGACAGCAGGCCACAGAGCACGGTCCACTCGGTGGCCAGTTTTGTTTAAAAAACATTTAGCGCGCGCAGGAGGCGCAGCTGCTGGGCACTGTCTGGCTCTTACCCCGGGGCGGGAGAACGGCCTTTTGTTCTGTTTTCTGGATCCGCTGGACATTCGGTGCCCCTTTATTCCCTTGGGGTTGGAGGGGGTCTCCCAGGCCCCTTTCTGGGAAGCCAGGACCCTGTGGCCTTCGCTGACCTCAGAGCCCAGACGCTGGTCCCGGAGGGAGTCTGCAGGGTGGAGGGACGAGCCACAGGTCTCTGCTCCGGGTCCTCAGTGGGTGGCTGACCCCCGGCCTCTGGCTTTACCCAGACGAGCTCCAGGCCCGGGGCCGTGGAGGAGAGGCCTCCCGTGCTGTGGAGGGGCGTCCCCAGGCCCTCACTGCCCAGCGTCCAGGGCCGGCACTGCCCAGGGGGCCACGCTTCTAGCCGTGTGGCTTTGGGCCCGTCACCCAGCCCTTCTGGGCCCCAGTGTTCCATAAAGCAGGGACAGGGTCAGTGGCTTCCTCAGGGCGGATGAGGTGG